CTATATTACTGCAGTGTATATTATATATATATAAATATACCACTTTATTATTTATACCATGATGGTGTTGAAACGAATTTTCCTATACCGTGTTGTATTTTCCAAATGATGGTCGCCTTTTGATGTAGAGATGGGTCGCGTACCCAGTTTGGATCCGGTATTCGGTGGATCACTTCCTGCAGGACGACCGCGTACCGGATAATGACGCCGCTTACACGCCAGTGTGTCTGGTAATCCTACCAGAGACAAAAGAAAAATCAAACGTCAACAATAAAAACTTAATATGTCTGAAATTTTAAAACATTACAACAGGTTAGAAATCGTATATTTAAGCTGGATAGTCACATTTACGAGACCAGGAAAGATCCTGAGGATTTTGAACGGAACGTGATAGCCATACCTTAAATGAGAGGCGCGGATAGGTGCGAGACATTTAGAACAATTACCTTAACTTCCCATGCGTTAAAACATTTAACTTGAAGAACTATTAGGGAAAGTTTAATTTGGGTTTAGAAGAAATAGAGGAAACTGGAAACCATTCTAGCTTTAAGGGCAAAAAACTTTTTTAAAAAAACTTTTGGGTGTTTCATTCCCACCAGCCAGTAATGCTGGTGGGCGGGCAGTCCCTCCGGACTATGCCGGAAGGTAGGGCGGAAGGCCCTCTTCAGCCTGCTTTCAGGAATCGTGGGAATGGGTGGGTGGTAGTTCGGGTGAGAAAGTTGAGACGGACGAAATGAAGACAGAAGAGAATTAAAGATTATCTGTGGAATATTACTGCCCCAGCATTTACCTAAGTGATCCAAGGAAACCACAGAAAAACTTGGACCAAGGCAGACGGACCCGGAATCGAACCGGCGTCCTCCCGAATGCTAAGCAATGGTCTAGACCTCTAGGCCATGCCGCTCGGTCGCTTTAAGGGCAATAAAATAGAGAAAATGATAGAAAAAAGAAAGAGCAGACCAGACAGGTTGGTATGACACCTTCTCAGGCATGAAGGTCTAGTCAGAAACATATTAGAGGTGGAAACAGGAGTCAAGAGAAATAGAGGTAGATCTAGATTAGATTACTGTTCGGAAATATTTAAGGATGTGGGATGTTCTAGTTGTAGGGAAATGCGATGGTTAGCTCAGTATATCAAAGAGAGGAGGTACGTATTCAACTAGAATTAGGACTGGCGACCTTATAATAATGATATAAAAAGACCTACCTAATGAAAACTGGTGATTCAGATTGTTTTGGAGTAGGCCATTTGTCCTAATTAGTATTATTTATTGATTATTATTGTGTTTATTTTTTTCCGTAAACAAGAATACATCAGTATGGTCGAACTGTTGTAATGTCTGTCGCTTGTTAATTTATAGGGTTTTGATTAACTTAGTAGTATGATTTGGACAACTTGTAGACTTTTAGCGTATATAAAAATTACAGAGTCGTTTCAACGGTTTCAACTCGATGCTTTCGTTGAAAATTCGACAACCATTAAATCTAAACCTTGTACATTGACTTTCGTAAATATTTTATTATATGTATATTATTTTATTGTGGGTCCTTAATACGAATACAAATAAGGAAGCTATAAAACAATATTTTTAGCAAAGTTATTGACATGTGCCATTGATGCAGCTTGTTCCTTTCATGCAGACACTTTTGGGTGGAACACCACGCATAACTGTGCAGAGTCCTCCTTTATCTACAAAAAAATGGCGATCATAATCATAATCTACAGCTACTCACCATTAAAAACATTTCAGTAATAATTAGTGATGAGCAAAGTAAGACCACCAACATTCTGTCTTAATCTCGGTCTAGGCCTTGGTATTAGTCTTGGTATTGTGTTTTAAAATTGTGGTCTTGCTCATTTAATCTGATACTTAAGGTTTTTTTTTAGCATTTCTAAGATCTAAGAATAAATTTTTCTATTTATCAACACAATAATTGTCTTAAATGTTGAAATTTTCTGTCATACATGCGAAATTTTCATGACTTTTTAAGAAAATAGTGTCGGTAGGAGCAAGAGTTATGAATACTCTAGAACTTACCCCTCCCCCAACACATAAGTTTACCTTTTAACAAACAAAATAGTAAAGGGTACTTGACAGAAGTAAAGAATATCGAAAAAGAATTAGTTTGTCTCTATATTTTAACCAATGTTACCCAGACACAGGAACGAAAGGCACTCCGAGGGCATTCTTGTGGATTCCTTTTTTCAGACAGTTGTAAAGTTAAATAAAATAATTTGAAGTGGTCTCTATTCTGTCGAAACTGCCGGACGCGGATCGCGATTTCGATCTTTTTGGATCTCATCAGCGCGTCACAGACAGCAGCGACAGAACACAGACCAACTTTTATCTGCTGTCTTAACAGTGCGTTTTAGAAAATACCACAAATGGCGCGGTAAACGCCATCTGTAGTACGATGCTACAGTTGTAGGATTACGTATGCTCCAACAAAGTTGTAAAGTTTCTTCTTTTTTATATATTTAGTGTTAAAATTAAAGTTGCTTCGAATAGTTTAACCCATTAATCCACTAAAAATAATAATTTTTCGTCTAGTCATGTGTGTTTAGTCTTGGTTTTTCATATTTGGTCTTGGTTTTGTTCGTTCGGTCTTAGCTTTAATTTTGTTAATATAAAGGCCGTCTTGGTCTTTCGAAAATGCAATTTGCTCATCGCTAGTAATAATCCAAAAAATAAACTTACCAATGACAGTGACACATTGACTGCAACAACCGCAGAAAGTTTTCCCCGGAGTTTTACCTGGTCCACAATCTGTTTCATTTTTACAATTGTGTTGAGTGCAATAATCAGTTGGGCAAACGATATTTACAGCGGCGTAAACAATGCCCACGGATATCAACAAAACGAATAAGTAATTCATGGTTAACGGTTAGCGTATCAGAAAACGTTTGACACTGAACGTGAATCCCTGCGTTTATATATGCGTGTTTCAAGACCATTATTTAGAAAAGTTAACACTAAAGAAATGTTAAAATAACCATGTAGCTACGATAATAATTATTGGAAGTAAACTAAATATACACTGCGGCTATATTACTGCAGGCTTAAAGTTATGTTCGATGTTGACTGAAAATACCTGCAAATTATCAAGAAACAGGTTTCTAAAGTCTTGAAAAAATACTTAAATAGTGTTATATATAAACGAGAATACATATTTAAAAAAAAAGGAATAAGAAGCTGGAAATGGGAAGACCTAAAACTCGTCAACCTTTTGGGGAACTAGAATAATAAACAACAACCAAGCAAATAGTAAAAGAGTAAATTAAATAGTTACTTATATACATAATATATATT